GTAGCTGAAGTTATAAAAAAGTAGCTTGCAGCCCGTTGTATGATAATTATTCGTACTAACTAACAAAGCACTGTATCATTAGCAATCATCTCACCCCGACTTTATAGCCACGGACCTAAATACCTTCATTGTCTTCCAGTTTTGTCTACATTTACGCTTACGGACGCTTGCAGCGTACTTAGAATGAAAACCTAACTCATAGGGCTCACTAACTGTACCAAAAAGCTTCGATTAACCTTTTTTGATGTGGAGACTCAGTTTTTCTTAAAGTCACCAGTTAGTTTCCTTCCGGAATGTGAAACCATAGCCAATATTTTGAGCGTCAGTAAACGGTATAAACGGGCGAAATATGCATTTATGACATAGCAAATAAGTATTTTAAAACAGAACGTGATGGCATTTACTGTCGTACACCTTTTCTGCAGCAGGACGTCTTCGAAAATGGACGGTGGGATTTGACAAACTTTAATTGGTTTTTTGCACTCACTATGTTGCGGTTCAGAATTCCTTTAAACAAACATTTATCCACCCTTCATTCAGTCTAACGACAGTTTAGAAGGATGTTTGAGTGGTTTGTTGCAGAAATATCAGCTGCTGAGCCGAGGCGATGAGTTGTGGGCTTTGCTCTCAGTGGACTGGCTGCTCCTGCGATCCCAGCCGGCTGTCCTGTTATTATGAAGTACTGCCTAATAACTCTTTTGGTGGAGACTGGTATTTCAGTCCGTGTTGTAGGTCCGAAAGTGAATACCAAACAGACCGATGGCTAGCAAGGCAGAACTTGGACCACCTTACAGTTGAGATCTTCATGTAAACCGCCCTCAATCAAAAGAAGTCTCGTGGTCCCAAAACGACCCCTAAGGTTAGCAGAAGGGAAAGCACCAAAATCATGCGTTGTTCCCAGGAACTAACCAATTCTAATATTTCATGCCTAGATGGAGGTAGGAGGGAAGTCACCACGGTCACGGACTGCTTGCCTGTAAGCATGCCTTTGCAGAAGATCTCCTCAGTGATGAATCTGAATTCCACGCCTGATAAGTGCCGAAAAAAGGGGTGAAGAAATGTAGGCAGGTCAGATCGGTTAAAAATGAAACCTTGGGTAACGATCGTGGGGCTGCCAAAGCCAAGATTATTCAGCCCAGAGGGAAGCTGAACCAGGAGTTGATCATTTCCCCTCCTACTCAGGTGAAAAACGTTCTGAAAAAGGCAGATCCCGATCCCACCACCTGCAAGGCATGGCGGAAGCTATCTGCATTTCGTCATCAGCCTCGGTCAATCCTTGAGGTAACCCCACAGCTAGCAGCTCAGGTCATGCGAGTCACTCCCATAAGGGTAAACAGAAATCTGAGTCCGCGTTCGCAGGAAGGGATGTCCTAAAAGTTGGTCCATGGCCTCAACATTAGATCGCTCATACCTTTCAAGGTTCAGCAAAGTGACTGTCCCCTATTTACTGATAGTGAAGAGCACGATCTTGGACAATGAAAGAGTGTTTGTAGACTTCTAGGAACCTCGACCTGCGGTCCATTTCTTCGACTCCAAGCGCGTGGCAAATTCTGTCTCAGTGGCTGTCCTAGACTTGGAGTCTCTCGATAGTACTCATCAGTCCGAACACATCCTTCTGAAAGGTCATTAGTTAGTGGAGCGAAAACTGTTTAACGTTAGGATTAGGCCTATCGGACACTTGTCGCTTAGAAAACGTTCCCGCAACAGCAAGAAAATCCACACTGAAGAATTATGCTATTCAGTAATCACACATAAGATTCCCGAATGTCCGGGTACTGATGCTGCTACACCTATCCACAACATAAATCAGTGGAGATATGCAGCCAACAAACTCCAAGTCGATGTGAGGGCCGAAAAATTAACCGTCTTCCAAGCCCGGCTCACCTCTCCACCATCGTGCTCCACGCTGCTCCAAGTAACTCTCGACCCTCCGGACACGGTCAGAACTATCCTGGAATCCTGGTGTGATGAATCCGACGCATTCCCTGGAGAAATTAAGATAAGTGAGTGCAAACCCAAGGGAAAAAGGCAGACTGAGAGGTGATTCAGGCGCTTGCCGTTGGACAACCCGTGCACAACGATCGGACGGTTGGACGATGAGCAAGAGTTCCTATCGACCTTGTCCCAGGTCGAGAAATCCTGCACCAGTTCTCGGTCAAACAGGTCGGCGGATCTAGTAGCCCTCAGTTCCACCCCCTACCAAAAAGCTTTTCAAAGCCGGTCATTTAAAGGCTAGCAACACATTCTCAGCTCAACCTGCTTGTGGGACCTCCGGCCCTCATGCCCTCACTTGCCGTATCTATGGCAGTGCATGTGGCCTGCGCTCAAGGATGGCAGAATTAAGGTTATTAGTTGATGGGCATAGCCCTGGCATAATGGCTTTCTGTGAAACATGGCTCACAGAGAGCATGAAAGATGGGGAAGTTCGTTTAGGACAGCTCAGCCTAACTCGGAAGGGTAGACCGGAGGGCCCAGGAGGTGGCGTTGCTCTTTACACCTGTTCTTCCCTGAAATCCCATGAGATTCAATCCCATAGAATTGGCACTAAAAATGTTCTCTGGTGTAGCATTAAGTGCTGTGGAGGTCCGTGTTCGCCTGGAGTCCCATACCACCCTCCTGGAGCCTCCACCACGTTAAACAAAATGTCAATAAAACCTATCAGAACAGCTCCGGGACCGGATATTCCACAGGTCCCCATTATGGGAGGTTTTTAATTTCCTCAACTCTTTACCACTGAAAGTCTATCTGCTGCTTTAAAAGACTTTCGGGAGCTATTGCTGGAAAACTCCTTGACTGAAATTGTCCTCTAGTGTACTCGCTGGGGGTTTGACGGTAAGACATCCCGACCAGATTATATTTTCACAAATCAGTTCATTGAGGCAACCAACTTGAATGTTCTCAGGCTCTTTGGGTCGAGTGACCATGCAGTTATTTCCTTCGATATTCCCTTATCTAAACCACCCATTTCCGACCAGCCACTAGTCAGTTAGGAACTACGGAGAACTGATTTTGAAAAGGTCCTGCAAGATCTTGAAGGTTCCGCTTGATTGAATTACAACGGCCTACCGGATCTGGATTCCAGATGGGATCTGTTGAAGGACACGATCCTCCGGACGGTGAGTAATAACGTTCTTCTGATTCCAAGGAGGACCAACGGGCTCTACTCCTCCTGGCTTAAGCAAGCACGCGCAAACTCATATGGCGCAAACGGTCATCTTGGAATCAATGAAGGGACACTAATTCCCCTACTGACCGGCCAAATTGTGAAGACACCCGCAGCAGATGTATGATAAGGATCAGAAATGACAGAATAAACTACCAGACACAACTGCGTGGAACCCTGGAGGGGACTCGTGGGATACTGTACCCGCGGATGAAACAGAAGGGCAACAGTTCACTTAGTATACAGAACCTCAGCAGTCTAAAGACTCTTCACTCTGACTGTGGGGTGGCAAGCATACTAGCTCACGAATTCCAAACAACTTCTGTCACTTGGGAGGTAAAACAACGCGTCTTTTGGACACCCGTATTACAGAGGGGCTAAACCACGTTGAGTTTGAACCCCCTACAGTTGTGGAAATATTAAAGAATTCGAACCCGAATAAGTCTCCAGGAGTTGATGGGATTCACCCAGGAGTACTCAAAGAGTGTGCTGAAGTTCTGTGTGCCCCGCTAGCAGACCATTTCAGATGCTCGTTTCTGAAGGGCAGAATACCCTCTGATTGGAAACGGGTGGCTGCCGTCCCAGTATTTAAAGGCGGAAGCAAACCGCTTGCCTCCAACTACGGACCGATCTCCCTGATCTCTTTAGTTGCGAAGATCATGGAGAGAGCCATGTATGACCCATTTCGTGATCACTTACTTAAGGAGTCAATCTTAAACGACTGTCAGCGTGGCTTCTTGCCTGGAAGGTCATGTAACACCAATTTGTTGATAGCCTGGAATAGGTGGACTCTCTCTGTTGAGCAGAAAAAGTCTATTCACATCGGCTTACTTGACTTTTTCTGAGACCTTTGACAAGGTAAATCGTGATATCCTGTGCAAGAACCTTCAGCTCATGTGTGTGCACGGAAAATTACTAATTTGGCTTAGAGATCTTTACACCAGGTTCCAGTCAATTAGAGTTGTCTCCTCTCTATCCAATCGGTTCCCGATGCCGAGCGGTGTGCCTCAAGGTTCTATTCTGTGTCCACTACTGTTTCTTGCTTTTATCAACGACCTGCAAGGAGCCCTTAATTCTCACTCACTGCAATATGCCGGTGATTTGAAGATTTGGAGGGAAATACGGGCGCCAGTGGATATTTCGGTCTTCCAGGGGACCTTACGAAAATCCTTAATTGGGCTACTGAAAACCTCTTTTCTCTCAACTCGAAGTGTCGGGTAATGATAGCTGACAAACAAAAAAGCAATCCCAGTTCTTACTCTCTGGGTGAAGTAAGTATCTGTCACTCTAACATTGGACAAGATTTGGGAGTTGCACTGAGCGACACACCAACAGCCTCAGTGCACTGTTGCCTTGCAGCCAACATGGCCCATGCAGTCTCGGGGTTTCTCTCGCGAACTTTAGTGGGTCTAACTCCTCTTTTTACCACAGCGTATGCTGCGTACATTCGCTCTCATCCGGAGAAACATTCGCTTGGGATGTCCCATACTTGGAGAAGGACACAGCCATCCTGGAACGGTTACAGAGAAGAGATACACAGAAAGTGATTGGGCTACGTCACAAACCGTACCTGGACCACTTAGTTGCTCTTAAGCTGGAAGGTCAGAGGGATATGATCATGATGTGCCACATCTCCATCCTAACAGATCCCTTCTAAGCTCTACTCGGAAACGCGACCTGAGGGGTCATTCATTAAGAATAGAGCGTGAGAGAGCACGTACAAAGATCCGCCATTACTCATTCGCGGTTAGAGTCTGTAAACTGTGGAACTCCCTTCCTCCAGGAGTTGTTACAGCCCCATCCCCTGACACTTTTAAAAGGAGGTTGGACGTACACCTTGAGTCCTACGGTACCGATGGGCTGTACTCGAGAAGCTTTCTCTCATCTACAGATCAGGTGCAGTAATACTACCTTGAGACAGGATTAATTAATAATCGCTTATCTCTTTCCTTTCAGGCTTTTCGGAAGAAGAAAGTTGCTACCACTCAAAACCCAGAACGTATTCCAATAAGACAGACGTAGAACCCAAGGAACCACCGTTCACTAATTCTACAATACGATGTTTGAACGCGCCATTTAAGTGGTGCGTCACGACATCGAACTAGACGCGAGAGATCAAAAACTACTAGTTTTCTACGCTCGCACTATCAATATTGGAAATATTGGATATTGGATCGTTGTGATGCTTGGAGTTCTTACGAATGTGTTGGAGGAGTTGTCAGCATATTTTACGGACGTCCAGATATCGTTTTTGAAGTATGCTGTGTCTGCTCTGCTGTTCACATCCACTTCATTTTATTTCATACGGCGAACTTTTGCTGAGAAGCCAACCAGTGTCACAACGAAAAAACCGAAGACACGCACAAAGAAAGGCAAAAGCAAGTCTGTAGATGGCAGAACGTCATCATCGGTAGTAACTGTTTTGAAATTACACTTATTCGAATAGGATGGAGATCACAAGGAAGCTAAAAGATCCACAGTTGTAACACCCCACAAAACCAAACAAGAGCTGGTGCTTGCCTCTCCTCCAGTCGAGACCTTATCTGTTGTGCAAAGTATGCCGAAAGTAAGTTACTAGTATTTATTTCAGTGCCGTAGAAGACAGCAGTACTTGATGGCAATATGAATGACAAGTGGGTAGCTGTTAAACGGGGTACAAAATCTCCGCATCAGCAAATGAAAAGCAACAGTATCAAAGAACCTCAAATTGTTGTTCCTGAAGTCTCAAAGTTTGAAAACAAAACCCGTGTAGCCAAAAACAAAGCAATAATAAGGCTGACCTCTAAAAGGTTGCCACCTGTGCCTCATATTCCGCCCTTCAAATCAGGTGGTTCTGAATCTGATGGTGAATGGCGTGAGGTTCGCCCTTCTAGAAAAGGGCGCAAGCTAAATAAGAATTGAGTTCATTGTATGTATCTGACCTGTACATATCCCCTGTGATTTTTCAAGTGCCTGAATTGCTATCTAGAGATACTGTTATTCTTTCATTCCACTGTTTGTAGTGTATGACAGTCAAATTTGATTTCAACATCTAATAATGTATTGCATCACTTGGGATCTTATTGCTGACAATAATTAAGTCTGTAATTTAGTTGTCAGCTTTTCTCTTATGGTCTGTTATTTTGTAATAATATGATTCTGGCCTTAAAAATCAATATTGTATTGGGATTTGCTTCTGGGTTATAAAGTATTTTCAACAAAATGTTTACTCCTTATATTTTGGTTGACAATACTCATAATAATTCACATTTGTCATCTTTTATGGTTTGAATGTATGTTGTACCTGCGTAACTCAATCCCCTTGTCATTCTTGGAATCGACAAAAATGTTCATGGCTGGAATTCGTTGAGTGGAAAGCGAGCATTACTCACGTCGAATAAGTGCTGAGAAGTTGGGAAAAATCTTATCAAACACACCTACAGCCTTTTATTATTTTCAGTTATATTGTAAACTTTATTGAGTGGTGGTGACAGAGGACCAGAACTATTACTAGAAGCACTTGTAAAAATCGTGGTTGGTTTTCGCTGTAATCTTGTAAGTTGTAGATTGGTCTGGGCTGCATTTGTTACCATATCTTTAGACTAATTAGTTGTTTTCATCATCACTATTATTATTGTTATTATCATCATTATTATTTGTCCCTTGGGTTCCTAGTGGAACACACGGCTTCAGTAGCACAATTTGTTGTTTTAGAGACGGCTAAAACACTTGGGAATCTGCTGTTTTCCGTTATAAATTGTGTCGAACTACATGACTTTGCCAGTTAAAGCTAAGTCCTCGGCCGCAATATCTTAATAATGCAGGCAGACAAACGAACGTATATGAAGAATGTTAATTGTGAGAATAGGACGTTTATAAATTTTGCTTATTGCAGCTGCTTTAAGTCATCGTTGATCGTCTCGAACGTGTTCCAGTAAGATTGATGCATAACCCGAGGAACTGCCGTTCACTACTTCAAGAACACGATGTTTGTAGTTTATTTAAGGTAACTTTTCATCGCTGGTTTGCATGATGATCCTTCATTAACTTGATAAGTAATTATGATTTTCTTCGCTAGGTTGGTGACCAGATTTCTTGGCGGCACTTAAATGAGACCCATTTCCTCGCTTGTTCCGGTTGATCCGCTATTCAGATTTGTTTGAGGTCGTTTTAGATGGTGGCCATCCTATATCTGATACAGTATTATTAACAGCCTGCCAGATCATGCTTCTGCTTATTTATTAGTGCTTTTTGTTTTGAGAGACCTCCAGTTTTCGGGTCATGGTGTTTTTAATCAGGGCACTACTTATTTCGACGTGATTTGCCGTACTGTAGCAAAGAAAGCATTTGGACAATCGACTGGAAGGTTCTTTCATGCTATCATCCAGGAGGCCATTGTCTAGTCACCATTCTAGTGCAGCTCTGACCACTAGTTTGTTATTTTATTAGTTTATTCCATGTCTTGAACTGGTCAACCTCAACTTTCCTTCAACCCAATTCTACTTCGACTAAGATCCCCATAATGATAGGCTGGATCTGCATATGCAATAAGTAATCAAATCACCTGAGTCAGTGATAGTTCACTACCTTGAAGATTGCTTCCTTCTCATATCCTGAATTCTAAAACTAACTTCACTATTGCCTATTCTTTGCTCCCACGGCATACACTACTATCTACGGTTGAAAATCTGTATCATCTAAAGTTTTCTACTCCAAACAGTTGTTTTGGTTGTGACTAATGGTTTATCGCGCTGTATAATTGACCTTTGATATTTAATTGGCTGTCTTACCAGTGCCAGATATGGTATAAGTCGGGAAACGGTAAGCAGACTTTTTCTATTTAAATGGAGATTTCATTAGCAACTTCCCTACTGGCATTGATGCAACTTCCGAGGTAAGTTGAATGGTCACCACATTTCATTTAGACACTTCCTATCTTTTGTTCACTGGTAGATGTGTATAAGTCATGAAGCATCGTTCCACTATTATATTACCAAAGAATAAACCTCTAACAAGCAAGTTCGCACTTTTTATGTAGTTCAAATTTGTGGCGTAATTATTTGCGCCGCTTTTCTCGATTTATGTTTTTTCCTCAGAGAATTCTCTTTCATGGCAATGCATAGGTTGGGATTCGTTTATGCCTTCTCTCTTTATATGACGTTTCCGTTAACTTAAAAGTCCAGTATTATCCATCAGCACCATCGTAATATTATATTGATAAAAACTTATCGTTACTAAGTATTATTCTTGTTATTATTTCTCCGTTGGTTTCCTAGTGGAACATAGGGCTTCAGTAGCACGCCACCATTTCACTCTCTTCTCTCTAGTCTTTTGGATCTGGCACCACGACTACCCACACGCTTTCATTTCTTCCTCACGTGATCTCCTCCATATCACCCTCAGCTAAGACGCCCAACTCGTCGTTTCCCCTTTGCATTCCACTCGAGGCCCTTGCCTGGCGCGTGATGTCCCCAGTCGGCCTTCTCAGTGTATGCCCAATACAATCCATCTCCACTTCCTTCTGTATATTTGTTGGACGATAGCTTCTTGATCGGTTCGTTCCCACAGTTCCTTGTTGCTTATTCTTTCTGAACATCTGATCTGCAGTATCGAACGAGTGTAGGCGGCAGCTGTTGATGAATGTCTGTAGTTTGTCGGAAGTGCTTCTCGTAACGCGCCAAGTCTCTGAACCATACAGAAGCACTGACTTGACGTTGGTGTTAAAAATCCGGATCTTATTGCACATGCTGAGTGCAGTGCAGAAGATCTCCACACTGATTTCAGATTAATGGAAGTCTGTCTTGGTGTCTTTCCGATCCTGGCTGGTTTGACATCCTCATCTGTGTCTGTGCCGCCTGTAGTTAAAACGATGCTGCCTAGGTAGGTGGGTAGGTGAAAGAGACAACTTCCTTTAGGTTTTTCCCACTAATGGTGATTGGTGCTTGTTGTTGATGCTGTTGCTCGTTGGGTATCTTCATCACCTCTGTCTTCTCCACGTTAACTCGAAGTCCCGTTTTCACTGCCTCGCCTCTTCCGTCAACTTGCTAGTTTTCACCTGTAGATCTTCGAGTTTGTGCGACAAGACATCAGACATAAATCATCATCGGTGGCGAAATCCAAATCTTCTCCTGGGGTCTTTTCATCGGTCCACCCAGCGCATACTCCTCTTCTCACAGCTCCTCATGGTTCGCTGCATGATCCAGTCGATCACAATCAGGAAGATCATAAGTGATGGTAGGTGACAGCCTTGTCTTACTCCTATCCCCTGTCTTCACTTCAAAGGCGTCACTGAGCTTCCCATTATCGATCACTTGGCATATGGAGTCTTCATTTAGCTGTTGAATGAGATTGATAAAGGTTTGTGGCACTGAAACTGTAGTGTTGAAGCAGCTGCCTGCCAAATTACTTCTCGGTAGATGCCGTCGAAAGCCTTTTCAAAGTAGATGAAGATGAGGTTGAGTTGAGTTGACTGCCATTCTATACTCTGTTCTATGATGATGCATAGTGTAGCGTTGCAATTTGATCCGCACATGATTTGTTCTTCTTCAAGCCAGCCAGCCAGCCAACCAGCCTGTTCCGGTCGCAATTTTGAATCCAGCGCATCCTTCAGTCTCTCCAGGATGATGCGGCCTAATATTTTGCTTGCCTCGGGTGGAAACGAGTGGAGCATGATTCCTCGCCAGTTCTTGCAAAGATTTAGGTCACTCATCTTTGGGAATTTGACATGGTAGCTCTTCTTCTAATCTATTGGCAGGTACCTTTCCTTCCTTCCTTGCTTCGTTCCCTGCAAACCTTCTGCAGTAGAGTTGTGAGCATGTCCGCTGCTGTTGTATCTGCGTCTGTTTTCAGTGCTTCTGGCAGAATTCCATCTGGTCCTGCTGCTTTCTCAGATTCCAGTAACTTTTTGGGGTTCAAGACTTCTGCTTTTGTCGGAGGGCTTCTGTTCACTCTTAGTGTTTTGGCTAGTCCGCTGGTGGTATTTCTGGACGAGTTGCAGGTGGTGGTGGTGCTCGATTCAAGAGTTTTTTGAAGTGGTCGGCCTATCGTTTCCTTTCCTTCTACTCTTTAGCGGTAACTAGGTTTCCTTCACTATTCCTCTTTGGTTTCATCTGTGCTGATCTCTTCCCAGATAGTAACCCGGTTCTTTGATATTATATTGGCAGGTCTCTTCTACCTGCGGCCTGTTCTGTTTTATTTGCCAATGTGTCATAGAAGTGTCTTTTGTCGTTGCGCGCACTCTCCTTCACTTCTTTGTCCAGTGCTTTATACATTGTACTCAGTTCCTCTTCTCCTTGTGCATCCTTGCACTGGTTTATCTTCTGCCTCACAATCCTCCACTCCCTCCTCTGTCAGCTTTCATGTATCCATCAAGATCCATTCCTTATCTTCTTTCTTCTTCCTTCCTAATACGGCTGTGCAGGTTTCTTTCCACATAGCTTTCAAAGACTTCCAGTGTTCTTTCACGCAGATTCCTTCAGGCATGTTGCTCAATGTCTCCCATTTTATCTTGATGGCTGGCTGATGTGAAGATGTCCTTTGTAGTTTCGCCCTTCAGTTCAGTTTCTTTTCTGGGTGGTTGTTCAACTTGAACTGTGGTCTATCACCAGCTTCTTCTTCGAAGGCTTTCAACTTGATTTGGAAGGTAGGTTACTTGCACTAGATAGTGAAGTGAGTGGTGTGAACCTACACCTGCTCCTCTTCTTGGCCTTGCGTCAAGTAGGCTGCGTCTCCACTTTCTTCACATTCTGACATTCGCTCTCCACTTACCTGACTGACGCCAATTGTTTATCTGGTTTACCAGGTCTTCCTGGGTTACCCACGTCAGTCCTATGTCACTACGGGCTTCCAGCTATGCGCTTATTCATCAAAATGGTGTACGTTACAGATCGTGCACTCCTGCTAACGGGGATAACGACTTACTCCTGGTTATCTACATATCCCACTTAAGGAGGGATGGAATTGAGTGTGCGACCTAGGTTTTCAGCCGCTTAGGCCAGTTGCATACCACAATTGTATCTCTACTTAATAAGAACCTTTTTTCCTACCATGGTGGAACGGTAACACTCCAGCATTCCAATTTTCACTGCATGCGTGGTTAGCAGCCAATTTTTTCAGGTTTAGGAATCCACAGCCGACTGACTTCGAAGATACTCTACTTGGCTAGAAGGAGTAATACAAGCATGGTCACGAGTGCAGTGACTAGGATATTTAGCGACTAATCTGTAGTAGACTGCGCCTCATCTATGCGAAGCTTCCTCTGAAAAAGAGGGATAGAGAAACAGAACAAGGTTAGCTTAAGAAAAGGAACTGGAGGTTCTAAGAATATTGTACTAGAGCTGGTCTCAGAGAGGGGAGGAAACGAGTAGAACACAGTCGAAAAGAGTCGCCGTATGGTTCCACGCAACTGACAACACATACGAAATTATATTCGTAGGAAAATAGGCGGCCCAGATAAACAAATAATGGTTTATACACTGTTAGAGAAAATGTACAAAATATGGGAAATAACATGAAGAAAAATTATTTTCAACTTAAAAACATCTAAAAATATTTATTGACTTCCATGCAAGAAAGCAGCTAAAAAAATCACGAATTTACTACATACCCA